CTTTGCCTGTTACAGCATAAATTGGACATTGGGATAGACATCCCAGAAACATGGATGCTGACCACAAGAACCACAAAAACAGGATAACTTTGCGACAGTGGACTCCGGAAGAACATTTGGTCAAAGTGTGCCAATCGAAGCCTTTGTGGGATTCCAGCCAATGTCTTCATGGCGAGACAAACGATGATACTGCATTCAGAAAGTGAATTTGTCACCACGACCAACCGAAGTCGATTTAAGCACATTACCAGTTTGAAAAGAAACTATAAACTTCATCAAAGGGCACTCACTTTGAGTTATGACGAGGAAACTACATTGTTGATAAATAACCTAAGTAAAATTTCTTTTAACATGATACCCTACTTTCAAACAACTGTAATCAACAAACATATTAACGATAAAATGTCGCCTCACATGGCTGCGAATATGAACAGCGAAAAGGTTTTGAAATTGAGTAAATTAAATTAATCACATTTGAAGAACTTAGTTTATGACTTTCTATATATTATCTCATTGGTCACTCACTTATAACTCTCACTCGTATGTCTTTATCGTTGCTTGTGACCCTCTTCGCTCCTTTAGTTTGTGTCATGGTACAAGTGAATGTTCCATCGTCTTCAGGCTTTACAAAACCAATACGCAGGCTACCGTTGGATAATTGAGTGAATCGTGTCGGGTCTAAGGACTTTCCTCCTTCCTTACTCCAAGAAATCTGTGGATTTGGTTTTCCATCAGCACTACAGCTTATAATGCCAGACTCGGACGCAATATAGGTTTGTTGGCTCAACGTCTTCTCAGTAAATCTTGCTGTTGAAAGGAGTAATGAAAAGTACTAATATCATAGCTACACTTTTGAAAGGTCAGAGGTGTACTTGTCTTACATGACATTGTTATGCATGTTAAGCCTATTTCGACATCCTAAAAAGATTTGTTTTCATACCATTAATATAGACAATGTAATATTGAACATATTCCAATCTCTGGCATTCATATGTTCCTCCATCAGACAGCTGTACATCATCGATGAACAGATCACCATTGTCTCCAGCCCTGATCCTTTGAGAAGTAGAGTTTGTTATTTCAAGCTTTACCCCATTGATGACCCATCTAGCATAATTGGTTTCATTGTGTATAGAGCAGCGAAGCTTTTCTCCGCTACCAATATCAAAATAGAGTTCAACTCTTTCCAACACATTCTTGTTCTCTGCAAAAAAAATGGTTCGGTTTGGAAGATGTTGTCAAAATAAGTCACATTTTGTGTAATTAACACCACAAGAGGAGATAAAAAAGTTGAGTATATTTATTTGCACTAAAGCTTAACTTGAGAAATTTTTTAACTTTGTCGTACTAAAACTAAGTTACATTACTCCAAAGAAAGTCGTGTCAGGCATTATTAAAGTAATGCAACCTTTCGATAGAATTATATCGCATCCAAAAAAAAAGAAATTAAAAGAAATTAGTTAAAAGAAATTAGGTTACCCTTAACTGAAGTCAAGTGATCTTATGAGCAGTCAGATTACATTTATGAAAGATATACCAAGCTGAATCATCAATGAGGAGGGTATGTTTCTTGAGACCTAATGTCAACATGCATTAGACAAACAACGGCAAGTCACCCGAAATTTCCTTTCACTTTTACTTTCATATTTTGTAGCCCAATATGTCCTAATAATTTTGGTGTAGTTTTTTTGTGAAAATGTATTTTAGTTTTCGAGAAATTATTTTTTTCGTTCGACCGCTCAAATATGCAAATTTTCACCGTGGATATTACCCGAGTTGTGTGACCTCATGTAACGAATTTACTTGACCTCCGATATTTCTGTCAACATAATCCTTTGTTTTATCATTTAAATTTAATCCCCTGTCATTATTGAAGCTGGCAGAGAAATGTTTATTTTTTGGTGAATACTATTGTCCGACATTCTTTTTCTATGTCGAAAAGTAGCACCAAAACAAAGACAGTTTTAACAGTGACCGATATGACAGAATCTACTGAGCTTCTAGCTTATAAAAGACAAAAGGATGGTTATAAAGTTACTGTAAACATTTCCTTGTGTATTTGCGTTGTTCTATCGAGAGACGAACACAAAGTCCGGCAAAATTTACTTGCTAGCGACTATGAAATATACATGGTGTGCTTACTTGTCGCCACCGTTTATATTGGCATAAATCACTACAATTTGTAAAAAAATCTAACATAACACTCTTACCTTGTTTATTTATAATGTTATAAGACCAATAAGCTGTTTCGGTTATTATATTACGCTTGGGTATTACTTTTTGCCAGGAGCCCAGGTTTTAAGTTGTGTTTTCCCCTACCCCATTTATATCAAAAGCTAGTCACGCAGTAATTGATCCCAACACAAATGAATATTCACCCTGTATGTAGATTTTTGTTTATGTTGAATTGACAATATTTGAGTATGTCACTTTTGTGGCCACTAATCGTTGTTTCAGTAACAGCGTAGCAGTTAAAAGCGGGTTGTTAGTTGCTGACAGGGTGGGTATTGACCAATTCCCAATCGAGACCTAAGTCTGACGGGACGCGTAATTTTGCACAAGGTGGTATTATCAATTTTCCAGACGTCTTGCGTAATATCTCTGGTACACGCTTGTCAATTCCCCAATCAGCTTTTAGAATCGACTTAACTCTACCTTTACCACGGCCGTCTTTTGGCGTCTCGAAGATGCCGACTCGCGACAAAACAAGATCAACTTCAGTTTCTGGATCTCCGCAAGTGACTTGAAATGTCTTTTTTACAACTATGCAAGGGAACGAACTGAGATATGCAACGTCGGTCTTCTCGATAACTATATCCAAAAGTCCCACCAGCGAACGATTTAAATGAACAGTAAATCTCCATGTTAGCATGTAAGATGAGACGCTTACACAACAGAACAATTAGCTACATCAGTATGTACCTTGTCAATCGAATTGACTTTTGTGAACATTCTATGACTTCCGCCGGCAAAGGAACCATTGAGGGATCTGGACATTTTAGTTTTCTGAATACAGTAATTCTTGGAAGGTTTTAATAGATATGCAAAGAGGGGAAAAACCTATCTCTTGGTAATTCGGAGCTGGATTCCTTGAATTTATATGTCACGCTTGTTATGCGACTGATATAATAACGTGGCGAAGATTTATAATCTGGCTAAAATGTGGTAGGGCATAACTTGATCATCTAAGGAGCTAATAAAATCATAAATAAATAAGGTAAGAGTGTTATGTTAGATTTTTTTTCTACAAATTGTAGTGATTTATGCCAGTAAACGGTGGCGACAAGTAGGCAAGGGCCTGTTTACATGGAGGTGGGGGACCCCAGCTAGGTGTGGTAACCCGCCTAGCCGTGGTCGAAAAATAAAACGCGTTTACATGCAATCTTACAAACCGGGGTGCTCGGGTGAGGTTTCTTGAGGTTGTTGTTGCGCTTGCAATTAAGGAGTTTGAGCAGAGGTGTCGCAAGCTCACATCTCGAAGAAGATTAATCCTCGCTCACATATGTATTTATTCATGAAAGCGTCACGCGTTGTGTTACGCTGTGTTTGGTTTCGCGAGGAACCGTTGACTTAATACATAAATATGGTCGATTTACAACGCTAAATATTCCGAAAAGTGAACATTTTACACTCCTCGTGTGTCCGTTGCAGTTTCTGATGATTTCTGCCATGAGACAGCTAGGATATGTACAAAGTTTTAAAACATACATGTATCGCTTTTGAGCTTTTTGCCATGAACGCGACCCCGGCTAAGCGGGTTACCCCACCTTGAGACATTTACATGGCAAATTGTCACCCCGGCTGACAGGGTTACCCTACCTGGCAGACCGGGCCACCCGCCTAGGCGGGTCATCCCACCTATCATGTAAACGTGATCAAAATAAAACAAGAAATTATATTGACAGGCGACCTAAGGCCCCCCACCTCCAGGTAAACAGACACTAAATTTAGTGCCGGACTTTGAGTTCGTCCTCACGATAGAACTTTGGAGAATGTCCCCCTTTCCTCCAGTTCTCTCCAAAAGTCACAATATGTTTTTAAAGTTATTTATTTTCTCACTACCCGATCACATTGAGTACAACTCTCTAACTGCTCAATTTACGCGATTGTACATTCTTATATCAGCTCTAGTCTTAGTTTTTGGTCACACAGGAATTTCCGGTCATTGTTGACTCTTATTGGTTCAATCACATGTACAATACAATGGTGTCAAGTTCGCCACGCCCTATAGTCACGCGACTTGATAACAATACGTTTCCGACACTCTCCCCTCATATGGTTCGCTATCGAAGCATATGTCATAATATTTAAACCTATTTGAATCATGCGAGCGGTAACAAAACGATAATCAGTATAAAACTTTCCTCGATCAACGTTACTTCCTATAAACGATTTCAGTGTTCACAGTTCAGGCCTTATACTGATGTTCTCAAAACAAAATAATTATTTGTCCACCTCTCATGGATCAGTTTTCACGAAGCACTAATTACTGTTCGCATCTCACATTGTTAATCATCCGCAACTTGTTTGATTTACTGTTCATAGTTCACATTGTTCAACATCTGCAACTTGTTTGATTTACTGTTCATAGTTCACATTGTTCAACATCTGCAACTTGTTTCATTTGCAACCTTGCTGCTGCTGCTGCGTCTCTTCTAGGGCGGAAATCCTGAGCCTGTGGGTTTAAGCGTGGATCTGCCACTTGAGTGCTGACGTCACACTCAAGTTCCAATGGGTACAAATGTTGTACTGGTCGTTCCAGCATGCTTTTGGCAGTTTTAAGTTGGACTGCGCGTATGACGCCGTCATTGCCAGGGTAAACTTCATTCACTATGGCCAGCGGCCATGTTCCACGATTCTTGCTGTCAGTTTTCACTATGACGACGTCTCCTTTCTTAGGTTGGAACTTGCTCACTGTGTGCGTCAGGTTGTGTCTTTCTCTTAGTGCTGTAAGGTATTCTCTTTGCCATCGACTCCACATTTTATCCTTACAGGTTCGCAAATACTTTGCACGTCTCCTGATGTCTTGGTCTGTTATCCTCCAGGTCTCCTCTTCCGGTAACTGGTTTGTTCGCTGGTACAAGAAGGTTGAAGGCGTTAAGATTGGTAACTCGACGTCATCTTCCGCATAGCTCAATGGGCGGCGATTAATCTGCGTTTCAACGTCGAGTAGCACCTCACTTAGCTCAGGCCAGGTTAGAGTAGCTCCACCAATAGTTTTGTACAGGGAGGATTTCACGACTCCAATTAATCTCTCGAACTGACCCCCCCACCAAGGGGCGCGGCTCAAGTTGAATTTCCAGGTAATTTCGTGTTGTTCAAGAAGACCCTGGAGACGCTCATCCTTCCGTAACTGCCGTAGCCATTTCTCGGCTTTGATGAAGGTACCGCCATTATCTGAGTAGATGACCCGTGGTCGTCCGCGACGAGCGATGAAACGCTTGAGACAAGTAATGAAGTTGTCTGTCTCCAGGCTGGCCATTAACTCTAGGTGTATAGCCCTTGAAAGGCTGCAAGTGAAGATAGCCAGATAGGAGTTTCCTTGACTTTTCTTTCCCTGTTTGTACTTCACTGGTCCAGCGAAATCTGTGCCGATGATTTCAAATGCCGCGCCGACTGTGGTCCGATCTTCCGGTAACTGACCAGGAATTGGGTTTCTTGCTGGAGTTGCATTGAATCTCTTACAACCATAGCACTTGCTTCGGACCGACTTGACCAAACTTCGAAGTTTCGGTACCCAGTACCTCTCTCTTACTGCTGCCATTGTCAGCGCGACTCCCCCATGCAGTGTCTCGCAATGAACTTGTTGGACCAGTTTTTCTGTAAACTTTTCACTGTTGGGTAGGTATATCGGAGTTTGCCCCTGTATCCGGCCGTGGCATGTCATCACTCCCTCTGCATTGGGTTTCAGGTTAAGTTGACCGCTAATCTGAGGGTAACCCGTGGTTTCTCTGTCTCGCCGTTGGACTCGCTTAATCCACCATCCACGTACATCTTCTATTTCTTCAGTTAGTAGAGGCCCGAGTTTCTTGTCTTTATGTTTGCAGTTATGAATGAATCTCTTTAGCCACGCGCCGACTCTCAAGGTCCGTCGCAAACTAGTGCGTTCCAGGAGTTCATCGAATTCGTCTGGTTCTGATTTGGTTTGTGCTAGGTTGAGCACTTCCCTTATGACTTTGGCCTCAACTTCTGATGCTGGTGAGGATCGAGTGACTGGGTTGATTGGCCACTTGGAGTTGTCTTGAAGCCACTCCGGTCCCTGTTGCCAAAGTGCTGAGTGTACTGGGGCGCTTCTGCTCGCTAGGTCTGCTGGGTTTTCATCAGTGGGCACGTACCTCCACTCAACCTCATTGTGTAGTTGTATCTTGGCAACTCGATTCGCGACAAACTGTTTATACTGGCCATTTCCCTTGATCCAATGAAGTGCGACGGTGCTGTCTAACCATCCGAACATCTTTGGGGAGGGAACGTTGTCTAGGGCGTTGCGTACGTTTACTAATAGATTGGTAGCCATGTGCGCTGCAATCAACTCTAGGCGCGGAATAGTCAGTCCCTGTTTGGCAAGTCGACTCTTGGCGACCACTAATCGTTGAGTGTTGCCTGATGGTTGACGTACAACTGCATAAACTGCCGCTCCTACTCCTCGTTCTGACGCGTCCCCAAAAGAGTGTAGTTCCACTTCTTGTAATGCTTCTTGATAACTTGCTATCGATCGCGGTACTTGCTGTTCACGAGGTAATTGTTGCTCCCATTTTTTCCAACGGTGTAGGAGCTCTCCGTTGATCTTCGTATCCCATTGTACTTTGGCCTCACACAACTCGCGATAAATCTGCTTAGCGGTGAGAGTTAACGGTGCAATCAGGCCTAAGGGATCATAAATCTTGGCCATCTTTCCCAGAATGCCTCGCTTGGTTGGCTGGGTTTCTTCTTCGGGTATTACTACCGCCAAAGTGTCTTGCTCTTTGTCCCACTTGAGTCCCAACATCTTTGATTCACTGGGTTTCACATTTAGTTGTTGTTTAGCAAATGACTGTTCTTCAGGACTGAAGGTCAGGTTTGTATCTTTCTCTAGCTGTTTGACGTTGGAATGCCACTTGTGGAGTTGGAACGTTGCGTCGCTGAATATTTGAACGGCTTTATCTTTGCGCTGCTGGGCCTGGCTTGTATTTCGTCCACCTGTTAGTAAATCATCAACATATAAACTGCGTCGAAGCTCTGCGACTATCTCTGGTTCCCGTTCTTCCCATGCATCCAAGTGGGCTTCTATTACGCCACCGAGCAGAAAGGGTGATGGGGCTAGACCGAACAGCGCACGTGTGAAACGTAGTGTCTCTAGCTTTCCGTGTTCACTTTTCCTCCAATGAAATCTTAATGCATCACGTTCACACTCCCGGATGCGTATTTGTAAGAAGGCCTTCTGGATGTCTGCGGTTACAGCTATGGGGTATGCTCTCTGTCTCACTAGTATGTCCCAAAGCTTGTTTTGCAATGGAGGGCCAGGATAAAGGCACTCGTTCAGCGACGGTGACTCTGGCGTTGCTCTTGCTGAAGCATCATAAACTATGCGCATTTTGGTTGTTTCAGCCGTTTCTCTAATCACTGCTTTGTGTGGAATGTAAAATTCCTTCCCCACGACTTCTACTGGTGCGACTTCAACTACGTTGTTCTGGAGTTGCTCTCTTATTATGCCATCGTATTCCCCGGTCAGATTACTGCGCTGCAGTTTCCTGGTCAAACTTGACAGGCGTCGTAAGCTTCCTTGTTTGTTTGTTGGTAGTTCTGGATGATTTCCTCGCCATGGTAGTCCAGTTTCATACCATCCTTCCGGTGAGCGTTGAAGTTGTTCCTTGAATTCTGCGTGCACAAAGCTCTGGTCATGCTCTGGTGTGTCTGCAAGCCCCAGTATGTCAAGCCTGCATAAGTCCTCATAGTCACTCTGTGATGTTTGGGTCAGCAGCATCGTGTTGTGGTCAAATTCTGATCCCGGGCTCATAATAAACCATCCCAGTTTAGTTTTCTCTGCCACCGGCTCTCCATCCTGTCCAATTTGCGGCTTTGTCTCTGTTTTTACGCGCGCATATTCCCCGCTTCCTAGTACGACGTGTATAGGAAGTTGGTCCTTCGTGTCAAGGTCTGTGATTTTGACGCCCTTTAAATGTGGGTACTTGTGTACCAGTGTTCCGTACTTTGGATTTTCAATCGATAATAGCTCTGCTTTGTTGACCTTCGTTAGCTTCACAGGCATCTGATAATTTCCGTCTAAGGATTCCACGACGGTGTCGTACACTTCTAGTTTGGTTACTTTCGAGCTGATTAGCATATCCACACGTCTTGTTTTCGTTTCACTTGGCTTTTTCTTTAGAAGATCCAACAGCTTTGCAGATGCATATGAACTCCCCGCTCCTGTATCTATCAACGCGCGACAGGTAATACCATCGACCTTTACTGTTAATACTGGCATGATTCCTTCATTGTTCTCACTGGCTGTCATCAACGTCTGCTTCCCGCTGTCTGTTTGTTCACGATCACATATCGAGGAGTGATGACGTTTGTGGCAATGTAAACATGTTTTCTTGCTGAAACACTCTGCGGCGCGGTGATTTGGTGTTGCGCAATTAAAACACAGCTTCTTTTTTGCGAGAAATTGCTTCCGTTGGTCCACGGTTGAGATTTTCTGGCATTCAGACGATCTATGCGTCGCATCACTGCAATAAACGCACTTGTTTGGCTTACCCTCGCCACCTCGTGCTTGGAAGAGCTTATTCGAGCGGTCACGTTTCGAATTAAATTGCTCTGACGTCTCTCGTTCTTCAACTGGGTTTCTTTTCGTCCACAGTCTCACTGCCTCTGACAACTGGGCGAAATTCCACTTCTCCCACTCTGGATCCATTCGTACTAGGTCTCCCCGAATCGCTGGAAGTTTATCCAGTGTCATGGGCACGTTTCCGTTAACCTCACTCAGTTTATTCATCGTTTCTAACGCTTGTACACAGTAAGTCAATGTCTCACTAAACTCACTTATCCTCCTAGGGTTGGCGCTTGTGATGACGGGGAGGGCCATTATTTCTTTTATGTACGCCTTCGTTATTTCGGATTCCTTTCCATAGTTGCTTAATAGTATCGACTTGGCTCTATTGTAGCCCTCAGATGTAAACGGCAAGGCTTCCACAGAGGTTTTTACTTTCGGTCCCAGTAGCCCACACAAATAGGTAAATTTGTTGATGGGTGCCACTTCTGCTTTATCTATCGTTTCTGTAAACTGGCCCCAGAACCTCGGCCAATCCAAGTAAGAACCTTCGAACATTTTTATCTCAATCTTCGGTAGCTTCGCTTGCGTTGTTTGTTTGGGTGACCCGCCCCCTTTGTGGCTCTCTTGCGTAGCAAGGTCGTTTTGGAGTTTCATCTTTTGTTCTTGCAGCTTCAACTCGAACTTGAGTTGTTCCTCGCGCGCGTTCGTCTCTTCCTGGCGTCTTCTTTCTTCGAGCCATTTGCGAAGCTTCCCGACCTCTTCGTCAGCTTTCATTAGTTGATGGTCAATCTCGGCATTCCACGTGGCTATGTCACCAAGATCTTCTTCTGCTTCGATTTTTAACGCTTCCAAAGCGCGCTTCAGTTCATCCGCCTCGGATATTGTAGACCGCAACGCTCCCGTGTGTCTCTCGATAGCCTCTACAGATCCTGAATCGAGCACTTGTTGTGTTTGCTTGGCATGGATTCCCAGTTGTGTAAGCTTCGTTTGCAGTTTTCCCTTCGCGTTTTCCATTGCCGTCGGTTGCGTAGCTTTAAAGAAAATTCAGGACTAAATTATACTCACAGCCAAAGTTGATAGCGGTCCCGTCGGAGGTGCCACGTTTGGAGAATGTCCCCCTTTCCTCCAGTTCTCTCCAAAAGTCACAATATGTTTTTAAAGTTATTTATTTTCTCACTACCCGATCACATTGAGTACAACTCTCTAACTGCTCAATTTACGCGATTGTACATTCTTATATCAGCTCTAGTCTTAGTTTTTGGTCACACAGGAATTTCCGGTCATTGTTGACTCTTACTGGTTCAATCACATGTACAATACAACGGTGTCAAGTTCGCCACGCCCTATAGTCACGCGACTTAATAACAATACGTTTCCGACAGAACAACGCAAATACACAAGGACATTTTTACAGCAACTTTATAACCATTCTATTATAGTAGTCATTGTTAAAATCTTTGTGGTGCTACTTTTCGACATAGAAAAAGCATTTCGGACAACAATATTCACCAAAAAATAAGTATTTCTTTGCTAGCTTCAATAATGACAGGGGATTAAGTTTAGATAATAAAACAAAGGATTATGTTGACAGAAATATCGGAGGTCAAGTAAATTCGTTACATGAGGTCACACAACTCGGGTAATATTCACGGTGAAAATTTGCTTATTTGAGCGGTCGAACGAAAAAAATCATATCTCGAAACTAAAATACATTTTCACAAAAAAACTACACCAAAGTTATTAGGACATGTTGGGCTACAAAATATGATAGTAGGGGAGAAAACGAATTTTGGGCGACTTGCCATAATATTTCAAATTTGTTCGATGGATGCCGACATCCTCTCTGGAAGAAGAAAGACAGCTCACGAAAACCAGAATCACTAATCAGACCTAAAAATTTAGTTGCTTACTTGGTTGACACAACGCTTGAGAACCCTTGTCATCCGATTGACATTGAGGTGGAATATTTAACTTTCCATCAATGCGATCGCATGATGCAAGTTCAAACTCTTCTCCGGTGCAAGAGACATCGGACATTGCAAAAGGTATTCCCTCAGCCTTTATGTCTGGCCCAATGAATTCCGCCAACGCCTCTTCAAAGCCAAGTTGACGACAAATAACTTTGACGTCGTCAAAGTCCCATTTATTCCTACATATCTTTGCCCATTTCCCCTGGTAAAACACTTCCACTCTTCCTCCATACTCCACATTTGCGCCATTCAAGCGAACAGGAACTTATGAAATTACAAAAAGTTCAATCCGTTAAGATAGAATCAAGAATGCCTATAAATCACGAAATGATAAATAGTTCATGCCAGTCTAAGTGTTTTGTTTTAAGGGAAATTCTGGGTGCAAATTATTCAGTATTCGAACGTTGGCCGTATCGTTCGTTGTCACGAAGTGGTTTCTTTGCTGCAATGTTTTACGACAAACCTCTTTTGCATTGATTTGTGACTGCGTTTTAAATTGTAAAAGTAGATGTTTTTTCCATAATTTTGGAACATTCAAGACGTGTTTTCTTTTCCTGAAAACGTTTTGCTTTCGGAGAACACAAAAGGGTGATTTACATTTTAAACTAGAAAGTCATTTTAAAGCATTTCCCACGGAATAATCAAGAAAAAGGCGTTGAGTTGAGTATAAGTAGAGTGAAAAATCTTGAAATTCCCTAGTTGCACGAAAGAGAGAGAAAAAGGAAACTAGAAGGATGCAATAGTTTTAAGGAGACTTGGTGAAGGGTTTGGAGGTTATGAAGTTCGTGAAACCCAAATGCATAACTGCGCAGCTAGGTTCTTCTTCTAGGTTCTAGGGTGTAAACAGTAGAAACCCGCAAGATTTTTAGCGATAGACATAAAAGACACCCGAAGATGAACAATCATTGATCTCGGAAAAGTTTTCATATCCGAAGTGTAAGTAAATCTATCAAGTTACCATCTCTGGAGATCATGTGGATATTACATGAGTGCGATTCATTATTACCTTTGCAAAATTGTTGTTTCTTTTCCAAGTCGTTTTGACATCTGGTGGGAATGGTGCAGTTGTAGTGGGTGGACATCTCTGTAGCATTGCCACGTTCTGCGTACCATGTGTCATTAGCACCGTTGTTATAGTAGCCCATGGCCATGCAGGTTGAATTTTCATCTGCTTCATCCCATTGACTGGTACAAAGCTTTTGCCAGCTGCTGTTTGAGAATATCTCCATTGTACCGACAGATGGGTTCTTCACTGTTTCAAAACGCAGGGGAAATTCTTCAAATATCCCAAAAAAAAATTGATCAATAAGAATAACGATAAACAACATGAACTACTCCAGCATAGGTAAATTATTGTGTTGATGATGTCCCCATATAATTACCTGGTAACAGTAGTCCTTGCATCGTTGAAAGATTTCTTTTCAGTTTATGGTGGAAGAATTTCCTGTTTAGCTAACATGATTTTCTTTGCCAGCAGGTCAATGCCAAAACGTTATATAGTAACTGAGGCCCTTGCATTTTTGAACATGTTTCTTATCATTAGATGATAGTTAGCATTACCGGATTAGCTAAAAAGGTATTGCTTACGGGCAGTCCAACGAAATTCGTAATCGCCATTGCGCAGATAGAGCAGACTTTTTACAGAGCAACCACAAATATCAGGGAAAGCTTCGGCCAATCTTTTAGTACCTATATTTTAGTGCTAATGATAGTGGAGATTTGTTTTATTTCTTTCAAGAAAGCATGGTGAATTCCGTACATGTACAGAGTTTGTCCATTTATGAAGGATTACTGACTTATAATGAACTCCTGACTTTTGATAAATTATGCATTTCACATACTTCGCCTGGATGATTATGTGATTAAAGTTCAAACTCAGCAGTTCCATTCATCTGTTGTTATTCTAGCTTTTATTCCTGAATTTGTTCAGTTTTGTTTTAACAAAGAAGTTTTCATCAACTGAAATCAGAAAGGCTACAATTTATATGTTACCTTCTTGGCAACTGGACATGTTGCTACATACTCTCAACAGTGCTCCGGTCCCATCGCAGTGTTTCCCACAACGTCCTGGTTCTGGGTTGGTGCATTCTCTCTTTCTTGTTTGTATACCACCAACTGTTTTGGTACAGATACTCCAGGAGTTCCACTCACTCCAGCCACCATCCACTGACAATGCAGTAAACAAAAACATTTGATAAACGACATATTTGGATCATTTAACGAAATAAAGTACGTAGGAAAGTGGTGCAGTCTATATTTCTACCTTTCTCTATAATTACTTTGAATGTTTATGTCAACATTTGGTTACGGTCATCTCATTCAGTTGGTATTTGGCGCGATGCCGTAGGGTTTTCAATAAACGTATCGAGACACGCTTATGAGAGCAAAAACATAATTTGAAGGCGATAATGCGATGGGAATCCGTGCCGGTCTGTCTTTACCTTTATTCCCATGTTGATAGTTTCCAGACAGACCCCGTCCTTGATGTGCAAACACTCTGGAGTGCATGATCAGTTAATGTACAAATGCACAATACATAAACTATAGCTTAAAAACAACATTTTAAGCCCCTCCTTTTTAGGAGGAACGGAAACAAACACTACGGGAAACCGTAACAAATTTCAATTATGAGTCTTGGTAGCTTTTCAAGCGAATTATGCAGCAGAAAAGGCCTTCCTAAAGACTCACTCTCACCTTCGGATCGTGTAAGATGGCCTGCTCCTTATTGGTTCCCTGACCAACATCAAGGACCAATAGGAATAATGGAAACTCGATCCTCAAGCCTAACGATCTACGTATAAAAAGGGCACAGAAGCAATTTCCACTCGGGAACGGAACTGAGAACATCACTCTACCTTTCCCTGAAAGACCTTGTTACTGCAACACCATCTTCAAACAACAGCTGAAGAGACACATAAAGAGTCGAAATTTCCGCCTTTGGCAATTCTCTACCGGAATACCTAACACAAAGTCTTGGTGAAGAGGACGAAAACGACATCTCACGAGAAAAACATGTGAATAGGCAACCGCTCAAAGGAAAGCACTCGGCGAACATTATGAAAAATAACAGTGACAAAATAGCCAAATAAAGGAATGAGATTTCTGACTTTAAAGAGCTTATTTATACACTTGCAAATAAAATAGGTGGAAAATATAGGTGTGCTTGTTAAGCAGTATACTATCTAGATTGATGATGAGTAAACACGTGGGCAGACATTATGAACTAGTTTATTCACACCCCCGAGCACGCGTTGATACGGGAACTTTAGAATGTGATGCAATCATGCGCGAGTGACGTAACGGTGACATGACTTCTCCCCTCGTCAAAAAAAAAATATAGAGAGAGAGATATGCAAATACAAACAAATAGTGTCTCCGAAGTCCAAGACAAAATTAATGTGACCCATTGTTCAATAATAACAAGATAATAACAAGAAAAAGAAGAAAAATGTTCCAAAAGGAAGGCACTGAGGATATGGAGTGCTCTTGTGAGGTTGTACTCTGTTAACCTACTTTCTAGTAAAGTTCGTTGTTATTAAACTTCTTTGGCTTTCGGGTCATTGTCTGTTAAACAACTTACTGGCATGCCGTGGCGGGCAAAGTGGGCTTTGGTGAGCATGACGATGGTGGTGGATTGAGTGTTTATCAGCTGGTCCAACTCATAGAAA